CAAAATATACTGTTTATCTTTCAAATGAGTATTGGAACAGTAATATTAAAAAGAAATATGTGAATGAAAAGTGTTAAATTATGAATCTACTTTGTGGAGTATGATAAGATAAGAAAGATAAATACGCACTTTTTTGCAATTTCCAATAAAATAAATCATAGATGTGGGTGAAGGGGATGCGGTCTTAATGTCAGCCCAGTGTGCAGCGCAGTTCATTTAAAGCCTCCAGATTGATTTGACCAATTCACTGCAGACTTGTCATGGGAAAATGACTACTTTCCAAAAACATATGACTTTGTAAAAGGGCTGGACAATTAATTGAAAATTAATCGAAACTGCAATTCAGAGCCTCTAACCAACGTATTTCCCCATGACTGTTATTTCGGTTATTTAATCCTGGTAATGGGGCCAGTAAAAGGTAACGTCAGGACAGGTGAACTTAAAAAAAAAAAAAAAAAACATCCTGCAGCTCTTAGCGCGCACCGATGTCCAATCCAGAGTTGTAGTTACATGACGAGAGGTTGTCAAATGTTATTTCTCTAATCTCAATCATGCGGCGACCTCTGGGTCGAAAGTGAAGCTGCATTCTCTCTAACGGCCAGCAGGGGGCGAGTTCCATTAGAAATAATGATAAAATGTTGCTACTTCTCAGCTGATTTATTCCCTCAGTAAGCACTTTTAAATGAGTTTATGGTCTCAGTCGCTAGTTTCAAGTCTTCTTCAACACAGCATGATGTTCATTTAGTATATTATGGTCCTATTTAGGGGAAAATAGACGATGATGTGGCGTATGCTTTTGGATGTGACTACCTTGTGAATGACAGGTCGCTACCATGGCAACCTGTTCATCAGGATAGAGGCGACTCGTGTCCGCTGCTCTGTGTACATTTTTCATAAATGGCTGTCAGCAGGAGAGCAAGTCATGTTTGAGTCTGTTAGTAGGTTTTGTTTTAAAAGTAAATTGTTTTGTTAACCTTTTTATTTTTTATAAATTTTAACTGTGATTACATTTTTGTAAAAAATTTTTCATATCCTGGATGTATTTAATAAATGATTCCATTTATTCAATTAGCTGACGCTTTTATCCAAAGTGACTTACAATTGCTATACATGTCAGAGGTCGCACGCCTCTGGAGCAACTAGGGGTTAAGTGTCTTGCTCAGGGACACAATGGTGGATGTCTCACAGTGGGAATTGAACCCAGGTCTCCCACACCAAAGGCAAGCATCTTATCTATGCGCCATTAAACACTTTTGGAAGGAGGTACAGTAAAAATTGTCTTCGGGCCAGTAAGTTTCAAACCCACTGGCCCGGTTTAACGTTGAGCCATGGCATTGATATTAAATAATTGAGTGAAAGTTTAGTAGCAGCGGTCATATTTCAGCAGCGGCGATGCGCCAAATATAGGAGAACCATGTCTGTAATGTGCATGTCAACCTTTACTTATTAAATAACATTAAGATGAAGGATTTGTGAAATCTGTGGATAAATAAACCCAGTTTTAATAGTAGTGCATTTTTATAGTACACATCTTGTCAGCGAAATATGAGGGCAAAAAAACAACAACAAAAACAAAAATAATCGTTCAACAATCAGAATCGAGGTGAATTGTCCAGCCCTATTTTGTACTACACAAATAGAAATAAGTGAAATAAGTTGTAGGATACTTAAAGTGGAGTTAATACATTTTTGGCCACTCTAGGGGCAACGCAACAACCTGCAAACACAACATCTGATTAAGTCCAGATTAAAACGGTGAATCAGAAGATGCTTGTTTGAAAATGCTGCTGACCCGATGGACAAAACAGAGGACTTTATATAAAACGATGACACACACTCACATTTGGCTTTGTGAGTCGGTCTTATCAGTCATGCAAAGCAAAAACACGATGCTTTACAGAGTTTTAGTTTTGGTATTTTTATTAAAATATAAGTACTGTGTAAATAACACTTAACAGTTAGCCTATCCTACTGTGCATGTGCTGCACTGTGTTTACTTTAACTCCCAGTCTGTTTGGGTGTGGTTCTTGGTCTGTATTAATTTCTTCTTTCGCTAAATCATCTGCTACTGCGGAGTAGACCATCCACTGGCACGTACATGCCCAGTGTAGCTACCTGAACGGCCACTAGATGTGTGTTTTCAGTCCTTCTAATATAGACAGAGATCAACTCTGATACGCTGCTGAAACACTGCTGTGGACGGAGAAGATCGTTTTCGTTATAAAACTGTTTTAAAAACGTAGCAGTGTGGATGTAGCCTCACATTACCCCACTCCTCTCTCTAATCCTCTCATGTCAACCTTCCCGTTTCCCTGAGATTCTCACGTATCTTTAACCAAATATTTTTAATCAAATAAAAACCTTCTGGCCGTATTTAAAGTGTTTGCTACTCTCCCTCTGGTAAAGTCGGTGGCAGCATGTAAGATATGTAGACTTCTTGCACAAGGATAAAAAATGAAAACAATCCACTGAAATGATATAAGGCCTATAGCCTACTAATGGCAAACCATATGAAATTATAATGAATATAGTAGCCTATGTAATATTAACAATTGACTGTATAATATGGAATTTACATTGTAGCCTATTTTTATTTATTTAAATTTTCCTTATTTTCAAATCTCACTGGAGGCAGTTTTGACTCCCCTCTGTAGCCCACTCTCCCTCTCTCTGCTCCTCTCTCCACTCCTCTCTCTTCCCCCTAAAGCCCACAGAACCTGCCTGAGCTTTCCAGAACAAAAAGCAGCTACTTCAGAGTTTATCATCAACTCATGATGCCTGTGCTTCTTTATCTCCTAAATATTTTGGCTACAGCCTTTTTTGTTGCAGTTTTTATGGTTGTAGTAAATTTATAAAGATGCTGTTTGTTCTGTTTTTGTAGTTTATTCCACAGTAAAGCTATATTTGTTAAGCTAAGATGTTCACAGTAACCAGGCAAAGGATGCTATGGTTTAAGTCTTTAACACAGATTGAGCGGAATTTGTTGCCCACGTTTCCTGCCAATAAAATAAACAGTTGTCATTTCATGATACTTTATCATCTGTTAACTTTAACACTTAATACATTGTTTTTAAAACCAATTAAATAAATATACAGTATACTGTATAATGCTACATGATAAATAAAGGCTCCAAATAGACCCGGTGATTGGCCCAAAAAATCCTGATCGGAGCACTGGTGGCAGGTACAAGTACACCTTCAACACAATGGAAAACCAAAAGAAGGCGAGTAGAGGCGAGGGGAGCTGGTACCATGCAGTGGAAAAGGGGCTTTACCGTCGCTCTCTCTCCCTGTATGTCCGCTACATTGACTTTCTCCATCAGTAGTAGGCTAGGCTGTATAAAGTCACCGGTGATTCCATTCACAGCAGCAGCTGAGCTGCATGTTGAGGAGGTGTGTTGATGAGGTAGCCTATCAAAACAAAACCAATGTGGTAGCTAGCGAATAACATCTGACTGGTGTGTCCACTGTCGTTATACCTGGTCCGCTCTTGTAAAATATCCAGTGTCGCGTCTCTGATAAATGCTACAGTGTGTCTCCTAACCTGGGCGGCCCGCAGAAGTAAAGTGTATGTGTGGGAAACACTTAATGAACAGTGTCGACCAGCACTGTGTCTCCCTCCATCTTGTTAGAGACTTTGTGAGTAGACGGCTGCGTGCAGACGCAGAGGGAGGGGTGGGGCTGCGCGATGAGGGAGAGAGAGGAGCAAACGCTGGCAGGACTTTACAGAAACATATTGATTAACTCAACATCAGACTATATCGGTATAAACGGTATTGTCTAATTTCATATCTCTTTTGAAAAGGATATCGGTATACCTCATATACCGATATACCGCCCAGCCCTAAGTAGTATTGCACAAGTCGTGTTGGGTGATTGTGCACAGTTCACTCTGACCAGCTCTCTCTGCACAGATGATATTCCTTCCTCTGTCCACTGCTTCGTCTAAATTCTGGTCTTTTCCCTTTTCCACTAAAATTGTTTACTAAAAAGAAAAAACACATTTGTGATGGAAATCCATTTTTGTTTTGGTACGGGAAGATCTGAACTTTAATGTTTAAATGATGTTGGTGGTTGCATAGCAACATGGTCTCGAGTGTCATTAATGTGTAGTCCTTTTAAGTAGTTTGGTGCATTTAGCCTCTGTAGGTTTAAACTGTCTCAGGTGGTTTAAAAGGTCTTAAACAATAGTGAGGATAAAGCAGCAGATTTTTACTATTACTTTAAGTAATGTCAAAGGGATTTTAGAGGAATCAGAGTAGGGTGAGAGAATAACAGATGAGTAAGTATCAGATTTTTATTCCCTGGCTGGAATAATTACTGTTTATGATCCAGTGACTGTCTTTGGACTTAAGTGAGATACAATGTATCGGAGTGTGTGTTTGCTAAGTTTCTTACCTGATGAATTTATTGTCTGCATTTCTGTTAGTGTTCCTATGGATATTTTAATAGGGCATGGAAGATTGCAGCCACATCCTGAGGAGAGTCAAAGATACACTGCGGTCTGCACTTGTCCCTGACAGTGGCAGCAGCAGTGTACCAGATGGTGATAGAGGAGGTGAGGATGGACTTGATGATGGTGGTGTAAAAGTGCACCGTCTTTGGCAGGTTGAACTTTCTCAGCTGCTGCAGGAAGTGCTGGGCTTTCTTGGTGAGAGAGCAGATGTTGAGCTCTCACTTGAGGTCCTGGGTGATGATAGTGCCCAGGATCCAGAAGGACAAGAGTGATGGGGGTGGGAAGGGCTGGGTTCTTTGTGAAATTCGCAACCATCTCCACTGTCTTCAGATCGTTGAGCTCCAGGTTATTCTGTCCGCACCAGGGCACCAGATGGTCAATTTCCCACCTGTATGCGGACTCATTAGAGATGAGCACGATGAGGGTGGTGTCATCTGCAAACTTTAGGAGGTTGATGGAGGTGCAGCTGTTTGTGTACATGTATGTGTTAACTTTTATTTCTTCCTGATAGCTGAGTTACATTTCTGCTTGTTTTGTTCCCCAGGCTGATGACTGACTGAGGAGCATGATACTCTTGTGAATTTTCCCACTCACGATCCCCAGCCCCCTTCATCCTTACCGTCCTCGTTCACACCACTGCCTTCACCATGAACCACACCCCCAGCCCCCACCTGTCTGAGGGCGGTAAGTCGGCCAGAGGCAGCCTGCTGTGCAGCCTGGGTCTGGGGTCCGACAGGGGGCTCTGCTCCCCAGACAGCCTCACCCATACCCCCAGCCCCACCGGAGGAACCCCCAGTTCCAGCCCCCCACTGCTGCTGTCGCCCGGGCTGGGAGGCCTCGGGCTGGGATCCCTGGGGGCCATGGGGGATGGAGCCGGGGCCGACTGGGAGAGCAGGGAGGAGCTGAGGCTCAGGGAGCTGGAGGAGGCTCGGGCCAGAGCAGCCCAGATGGAGAAGACCATGAGGTGGTGGTCAGACTGTACTGCCAACTGGAGAGAGAAGTGGAGCAAGGTGGGCTGCTGGTTACCAGGAGAGAAATATATACTGGAAAGCTGTAAATTACTGTAGTAATGCCTCAAGATCTGATTCATACACACCCTCATTCCAGTCCTTTAAGGCTACCAAAATACAAATCGGGTACAGGCAATTATCCAAGGTCCAAGAAATCTGAAATAAATCCAACACGACAGTAACCACACAAGACAGGCAGAGACTCTCGACAGGAGACAAAGACAGTGTGACAGACAATGATAAGGAAAACACCGACAATAAATACACATGAGAGGTGATTAGCAAGACACAGGTAGGACTAAAACTATTAAACACCTAAGTGAGCCTTGCTGTTGCTCTGCGTGACATGTTCCTTCGTCACCACACACTAGGGGTGGGAATCACCAGAGGCCCCACAATACGATATTATCACGATATTTATGTTGCGATTCCATTTTATTGCAATTTTAAATATATTGAGATATATTGCAATTTATTACCTTTTTCCAACTTCCAATTAGGTCCCTAAAGTCAAACTTTGTCAACATCTGTTTATCTAAAAAGATACAATACTCTGTTTGTTCATATCCCTTTTTCAGTCCTCTATATGGTCCTGTTAAGCTTTCTAGTGGACTAAAAAAGCAATAGATTTTATTATTCTAGTACTAAAAAGTTAAAACATCTGCAATTTATATAATAAAATATCGATACTTGGCGTCCGTGTATCCATACAGTATTGCCATGGCAAATATCACGATACTATTCTGTATCGATTTCTTTACCCCACCCCTACCACACACTAGTTTATTTTGACTCGGTCCCACATACACTGCCCTGTTTACCCTCGTTTGAGTTAAGTTTGCTAAAAAACACAATGACCAGCTGTTCTAGTAAATTGCTGAGCCTTTAAAAAAACTAGAGCCCGACCGATTTATCGTTTTGCAGATATTATCGGCAGATATAAGCTACTTGCAGATATGTCTGTGTTTATAACAGCCGATATATGACTATTAAAAAAGAGAGTCGGATCCTTCCCTCGTGTCATGAGTGTTTCATAGTTTGCCCTCCAGAAGGCATTCTACAGCGATTCGCTGTGTGAACACTACATGATTATGATGCCGCTGTTTGCAAAGTGGAGGAAGAGAGAGAAACTAGCGAGGGATGAAGAAGAAAGTGTCCAAAGTATGTGATTATTTCAAGCCTGTCCACCTTAAAAAACTTTTGTCGCCTACTGCAACAGCACAATGGCACGTGATCAGAAAGCACCTGGTTTTATGCCAGCGGACCACTGACATTGTAACAGTAACAGCAACTTATGCATTTAACTGAAATGATTGATTGTTGAGATGAAGGCTAGCCAAAGTAAGCCGCAATCCTCAGCTGAAAATGTATACCGTGGCCGTGAGTTTGGGTTGTAACGTCACAGTCAGGAGTTAACTGGGTGTCTGGACTTTTGTATAACTTGTAGAGCACTCGTGATGTTTTTGTTGGTAAAGCAGTTTTCTGGTGGTTGGTCTGATGTTTGCTGTATGACACACTATGCATTTCCGAAAGGACTAATAAATATCTATTATCTATCAACTTACACAGCTGATCCCGGGGGCACTGCCGATGCCGGCAAGAACAAAGTACTTCTTAAACGATGCATCAATGATTCGGTGAAATAATCTGTAGAAGCCTCGAGTACTAAAATCATCGTTAGCTGCGGCCCTAATCTACGGAGAGATAGCTCCTGGTAACTCTCACACTCAGTGTGAGTTAGTCACGTCAATTGTATGACTTAAACTATAATAAAATTATCCCTCATTACTTCTCCTCTTACCAGACCATACTTCCTAAACCTCCCGTTTTTCACTGCCCTCTCCCGACTTACAGCAGTGTGTTTAATGTTAAGGTAACGATAGGTGAGTGGTGGTTACACTGCTGAAAAACATGATTGTAGATTTATTTCTGAAACAGTTCTAGCAAATGGTCCTCATATTTCTCTCCAATTTATCACTTCTAAATGTTCTCCACCATCACTTAAAGCAGCCAGCGCTGCCCCTTGCTAAATTAGCCACAAAGCTAATGCCATGTTTATCAGTAGAGGAGTGCTGACGTTAATGAGCAGTTAAACTATATTGTTTAATCTATTCTAAATAAATCTGTGAGCCACTTGTCTTGCAGTCGGTACGTTGGAAATGAGAGGGGACATGTAAGAAAACATGAGCTGAACAAGTAGGCCTATCTAACTCAACCCAGGCAAACAAAGTTATCTAGCTGCTCTTTTGAATGTGCAATGTTGGTGTGAAATTGCAAAGTTGCAGGTCCTCATTGCACAGTCATGTAGTATTTGATGAATTCAAAAGCAGCGTTTCCTCTGGGTCACTGACACATTATAGACTGGTGGTGGTGTTTTTTTTATATATATATATATATATATATATAAACCACCACCTGGCTCTAAAACATGTTGTCTATAATGTGTCATATATATATACATATACACACAC